AGGAACCGATACTATAAAAATAGCATTACCATAGATTGTAGTAACACTTAAAGGGGAACCGATACTATAAAAATAGCATTACCAGAGATTGTAGTAACACTTAAAGGGGAACCGATACATCGGTTCCTCTTTAAGTTTCTACATTTTTATTTATGCGTCAAATATGTTGAAAAATAATTTATTTTAAAAACTTCAATACACAATTTAAATCAAAATAATATCATTATCAGTGTTAATTCTATTCTGTTTCTAATTTTATTCTACTCCCATTGGATTTAGAATGATTCATATCTTACCAGTCCATCAATAAGTCCTAATCCAATGCCGTTATCTTCTTTGACCAAATCCACTACGAATACATCTTCCTGACCATCGTCTGTTTCTCTTAATCTTTCCATGCTTTCTAGACACTGTTTTGGAGATTGCAACATCGTATTTCGATGCAATAACAGGTCCATTTCGGACTCAGTAACTCCTAAAAAGGTATCAGACAACTCAACTGTAAAAACTGGAAAAGGTGTGGTTTCCTTCTTGAAAAGGTAGTTTTGTCATAAATTCAGAAAAAATGAAAAATCATATTGAGCATACATATAAATACATGTCTTGATTTCAAATAAATATGTGTCTTGATTTTAAAAAACAAATAGACCGAAAGCACTTTTTTTTCTTGGCCTCACTACCAGTATCAGTTACTTTGTCATGAATTCATGAACACAAAACCTCCATTCATGTTCAAAAGGGTTTGAAAGTTTGAAACTTTCATTCATTGATTATAAAACAAAATGTTCAGTAACACTTTGCTATCTATAAGCAGAGTAAAACTATACTTTCATATTGTGAGAAATCATGAGATGAATTACGACTCATAACTGAACATATATATGACAAAACGAGACTCGGACAAAACAAAAACTAATTTTGGAGCACAAACACACACACCAGGACCAGCATGTACAGTTCATATAACAAGATAAGAAGACAGATTTATTTTATAAGAAATGGGATGCTAATAAAAACAAGAGACAACAACAAAATATAAAACAAAACTATTTTTTTTTTCTGTATTAGTTTTGTTTTATGTTTTGTTGAGCGACGGGACAAATAACATATTTCCTAACCATCTTCGCTAGATTCTGACTCACTGGTAACATCCTCCACGAGCTTCTCCATATCATTCAACGACAGCGGCTCTATGTAATCTGAGTTACCCTCCAATTTATATTGCACATTTCTCGATACTGTAGGCTTGGTGGATGATGTACTGGCAGGCGGGGGAGGAGGTGAGTAGGTGGGGGGTGAGGGGGAATGAGTCGGAGATGTAGGCTGTTGATTATTGCATACTGTCAGTAGTTCAGGGCTGCCTGTCGCAGATGGAGACGATTGTAATTGTTGGCACTGTTTTTGCTGCATCTGTTGTTTTCTCTGTTGCTGTTGCTTCAGAAACTGATGTATTTGCTGTTTCAGCTGCGACTGGGATTGCAACTGCGAGTCCGACAGTTTGGGTTTTGATGGCAACATTGTTTTTTCAGTGTCTGGTGGGGTGATAGCAACAACTGGAATGGCACTATCAGTGTTATGATCAGTTGCAATGGTTTCAGCATTTATCTGTTTGACTGTGAGTTCTTGGCAAGCTGATGCGGTGTGATTAGCATCATTTTCTACGTTATCGTCACAGTTCTCATCATCCGTTTCATATGGTTCATCATAATCATGGTGGACTTTAACAATGTGCACCAAGTGCTGGGGATCATCCAGATTAAACTCTGAGCAACCTTGCGAATAAACAAATACTTGTTGATTTCTATGGGGACTTGAAACAGTGTTCTCCACACGTTTTATTTCATAATGACCATCTTCCTGTCTCCATGACACTTCATATTTAAAATCTTGGTTACTAGGGCTTTGGCTCCCTTGGTAACTATGCATGGGTACTGGTGGCTTGTATGAAGAGCCGTAAGATTGTTTTTTCTGCCCAATGTAAGTAGGTGGCAGAGACTGATACTGGTTTGCTTGAGTGTTAAATTTCACAGTTTTTTGAACACCATGTGTATTTAATCTAACTTGACTTTCAGGAGACATTACTTGTTTAATGTACAAGTTTGATCCCATGTTATTATTGTTTTCTGTGCCACATTGATTTTCAGTGTAACTGTTCGTGGAATGACGGCGACAATCATCAAAAGGTTTATTATAGTGTCTATTTACAGCAGAGACATCATTAATTTTGTTCTTCATCTTGACCGAGATAGCATCATTCTCTGCCAGTTCTTTTCTCACCAGATTAGCCATCACTTTGTCGGCAGACTCCTGTGGTTCAGTAACTGGACTATTCCCTGAAATAACACACAAATACCATCACTATTTCATTTCATTGCATGGCATAATTCAAATTGCAGAATAAGACAATCTCCTGTTAGCATACTGTACAAGGAAAATTTTACACATGTTGCAAGGATGTCTAGAGTTTAACTTTTAAACTCAGTTTACTATTTAGTTGACTGAATGGCAATTTTACTTGCCCTGGCCATAGAACCGTCCCTTAGAGCTAAGCTTTGCATTATATTTATGCGCGCACCATTGTACGTGTATAGCTTTCTAATTAGACACTAATCGTTGTTACTCGTCCCTTACGTAGCGTTACCATCAGTATCTTGAAGTATGAAATACATTGACACACGAAGGCGATCTCACCTCAACAATACAAATATAATGTCCAAATACTTCTTAACTGAATTACAAACTAAACTGGTACATAGCTACATCAGACCATTATTAACAACTGTCTAGGGAGTAACTGACCTCAGTTACACGTTTTACGGCTTCTATTCGTCTTAACGTAGGTAAAAACGATTTTGGGTCCATCTCCGTCGAAGCGCTAACTGTGAACTGACTTTTGACTTTTCCGTCTAAATGTTCCAGAAAAAGAACGTATATCGGAGCGTGAAATAGTATAGCCACTAGAGGGCATAAATACAAAAAGTCGAACGTACGATAAAAATACAATATAACTAAACGGCGGCTACAATATTGTTAAATTTTATTGGGAAAGGTTACATATGATTAAAATCTGAATTAAGAAATAGATATTTTCAGATTCTTAACATGAGTTATATTATTTTCTATCACTACAATTCTATCACTGCAAGCTATTACATAACCTGACTACCTAAGTCGGTTGAATAAACTTTTCCCTAATACATACAGTACTATACACAGACTCCCTAAGTGAGTTGAATTATTGTATCCCTAATACCAAGCTATTACATACCCATACTCCCTAGGTGAGTTAGAATAGTCCAGCTAATATTTTCTCTCACCTGTATAGATGGTGACACTTGTAAGGTCATCAGCCAATGACTGCAGACTGTCATAAAATGATGCTTGTGTAACTCGTTTATTTAAATCCATCATAAAATCAGCATTAGGCAACACCAGTGGAGGATGATTATTAAAGCTTTCTAAAATTTCACCTGAAAATTAAAAATAAGAAATATATGTGTAAATACTAATGTTAAATTTTTTTTTATTTTCCAATTTAAATTATCTCATCACCATTTAAGTCAACTTTTACCCTCACCATTTCTATTTTTAACTCTCAACCTTCTCACTACTGTTTAACCTTAACCTTCACTATTTCAACTTTGAACATTAAACATTTTACTAGTCAACTTTGATCTTTTACTCGCTCACCACCATTCAAATTTGATCCTTAAACCTTTTACAACCATTGCCAACTTTGACCTCTGACCACCATAGTCAACTTTGACCCTCTAACCACCATTGTCAACTTTGACCCTCTTATCACAGTTGTGAACTTTGACCCACTTATCACAGTTGTGAACTTTGACCCTTGACCCTATTACCGCCATTGTCAACTTTGGCCCTCAACCACCCTTGACAATGTTGACCCTTAACCACCATTGTCAACTGTTACCACCTTCCACAAGATAGTCCTGCATGCAGTCCTCATTGATTTCATAATCTGTCAGTATGTCAAAACAATACTAGTATTATAAAAAATTGTGCATTTACCATTTTATCTGTCCTTCAGCTACTCAAATATGAACACATTTTGGTTGGCAGAAATAAATATTAAATATTTATGCTTAAGGCTGAATTTTAAGACTTGTAAGTAAAGGGCAAGGTGTCCAATAGTTTAACCTTTTCACCACCAGAATTTCTCGTCCAAATTTGTCTGCACTTTTTTCTTATATTCTTCAATATTTCTCAGAAATGAACCCTAATTTTGAAGCCAACAGACATAATTTGAGTACATTTTAATTTTTTACTCAAAAAATTTGCTATTTTTGTTTCAATCTTCTGAAGGAAAGTACAGACTATAAACAGGACTATTTGTGAATTTGTGATGAAAAGAGTGAAAAGGTTAAAATACTGACAAATTAAGCTTTAATCAAGATGGATACAAGGGATTGTGAAGAAAAAGATCTTACTTGTTCGTAAAGCTGGTTCTACTTCTTCCGGTGGTGGAAACCAGCCTCTAGGTCTTGTTTTATTGGAACCTAAGTGATATTCACTCAATATCTGCTGTACTTGGGCTGCATTTAACGCTGGGTACTCCCTTCTGATGCAACTCCAGTCCATCTGAATCACAACAAACAAACATTTATTCACGTATTTGGGAAATGTGGATTACAGTGAACAATTTCACGAAAATTGTTTTCTTAAGTTAAAGGTGATTCAGGTTTCATCATGACATGTCATGTGTGAGTTTGAAGTTGACTCACAGGAGTTTTCAAAAGAATGTGTTCTTTCAACAAATTGTATCAGTATAGGGCAAACTGTTATATTTTTACAAATAGATTTGTAACCTGTTTTTTTTTTTTTCATTTTTTATAAATAGTATATTAAATAGTAATCTTGAGTTGAAAAAAAAAGGAGAATTTTTCCTAATTGAACCAACAGCGTAGTATCATATTTACCTGAAAGAAAATGGCGGCTATTCGACCATCTTGAATCGAATTGTGGAAAAAATGAATATGCATATGTATCCCAAGGTGCATGATACATGTGAATGGGATTAGTCCAGGTATGCATACACATGCATGTAGTTTGATTACTTAATTATACATCTTTAAGCTGAGAAAAGTGGGAAAAAGCCTGTGGTGTTTGTCATTTAATATTTTTTTCTGAGATTAAACTTTATCTTTATTAATATTTACTCACATGTAAGAGTTGTACTTTGGGTGTTGCTAGGAGACCAGACGCTGTGGATAATGTTTTCAAGAAGCTAGCTGCCTCATCATGTAACCCGTGTTCCTGTGTCCATGATTCAATCAGGTCAAGATTACCGCGAATTTGAACTCCTTTTGACCATTTGTAGAATTTGCCACCAGTTCCTAGTAAAAAACATTGAAATGTGCAGAAAAGAGTTGAACCAATTGAATCTCCCTCTCACCAAAAACTTTTGGATGATTATGATGTCTTCATTTTCATGAAAATGAAGAAAAACTATTTCTGGAGTGTTATACTTTATATTTTTATCACTACATATAATTTTTTAAATTGTAAGAGCACTGATTGACTGCCATGATGTTCCAGTTGACAAAAAGAGTTGATGATGAAAATTAGTTCCATCCTGATACGAACAAATGATATAAAAATCACATAAATTTTGTTGATTATTTTGACACACAAACCATATTCCACATTTGTGGTAGTTTGGCCATGCATGAGTTGTCATCCTGACATTACTGTAAAATGACTAATTTTCACTGGGTTTAAATTTCGCTGATTTACCATTTCAGGCATATTCAGTGGGTTTAAAATTAACGGTTTTATTATTTAGATAATGTGTTCTATGCTCAATTTTACATATCCACTGGGTTTTAATTTAGCGCACTTTCCAGTCAGCGAAATAAGCAAAATTAAAACCCAGTGAATAATTAACCCTTTTACAGTATGGCAATTTGATGTGTTATGCTGGTATCAACCAGGCCTGGTCAAATATAAGCATCAGCAGACCTCAACGGAGGTTCCTCCAAAGTCACATTCGTTAGTGAATAAATTTTGGCAAGTGGATTTAGCCTTCCCAATTGAGTATGCGACACACTAACCTAAGATACAGTGACTTTGGCCTCCCCATCAAGTCTGTGATGCACTCATCAAGAGTTCAAGTACAGGTAGGATTTCCCCAATTATGGGTCTGTACGTCTACATGAACCGGTTAACTATGTATGTCTACATGAACCGGTAACTATGACAACTCACCTCGCTCCATCAACATGTTAAATAATGATGCGTTGGTGAAGAAGAATAAATATGCAAATAACTGATGAATGATTTGGGGATGTACATGTAAATTATGTACAAGGTCAAAGGTTGACTGGAAGATACTGATGATGCTCTCTACTCCATCTTTGCTCTCATCTTTAGTCTCATCTTCATCTGTGAATGGATTGGTATCCAAAACAGCTGGCAGTGCTACGTAGAGTGTCTGTAAGAGAAAAAGGAAAACATTTTTTCTTCTTCTTTTGTTAAATTGTGTCAACCTTGTCAACTGCACCAGTCTTTGTACTGCTGTAATGCATGTTGTCATAGAAACCATATTACATCATCTACCTAACATTTTGGCGTTATATGTCAATTTAACGTACTATCCCAGCATCAAGACGGCGTGGTTGAACACACCAACCAACCTTAACCTTTATTTCTTGGGTTGATATGACATTAAAGTTTGTCAATACAGTTTCCCGATTGTGGTAAATTTGACGTGGACGTGCAGCCGTTCTCACCTTTGTTTTAGCATAAGACAAATGACTTAAAGAAGAAAAGAAGGTCTAGAAGAAAACTCTCAATAATTGGTAAAATACAGATCCTTAAAACCTTTGGCCTTTCCCAATTCATATATTTAGCATCAATGATTTCTGTGCCAAAATCTATTATAAAAAAAATCAATAGTATTATTTACAATTTTATTTGGAATGGAAAGGATAAAATTAAAAGAAACATCCTTATTTCAGATATTGAAAGAGGTGGATTGAATATGATTGAGGTGGACTCCTTTTTTAAAGCACAACAGATTATGTGGGTGAAACGGTTTGTTTCTGATAGCCAAGCCCGATGGAAGGATATATTGAAGGGACTATTGAAAAAGTTTGGGGACCATGTGTTTTTTTGCAACTTAATGCTTCAATAAATGACACAAGACACAAGGTTTTGGCAAAAGTGGAAGGGGGAGCGAATTGCAGACGCAGGCGTCGCAGCGAACAGCTCCATGATGCGACTCGCCTGTGAATTGCATCATGACGCCGAGCGCGTGGTACCT